ATATATATAAATTACGTGTCACATTGTTTGTCCGCAATGAACTCTTAAACTACTGAACCGATTTTAATAAAATTTTCCGCACTGTATGCAGTTTCATCCAACTTGAAAGATAGGATAGTTTAATTTATCTTAGTATATATAAATTACGTGTCACATTGTTTGTCGGCAATAGACTCCTAAACTACTGAACCGATTTTAATAAAATTTTCCACACTGTATGCAGTTTCATCCAACTTGAAAGATAGGATAGTTTAATTTATCTTAATATATATAAATTACGTGTCACATTGTTTGTCGGCAATAGACTCCTAAACTACTGAACCGATTTTAATAAAATTCTGCACACTGTATGCAGTTTCATCCAACTTGAAAGATAGGATAGTTTATATCTCAATTTATAATCGCAATATTATTTTATTGCGAATTATTTGTTTATTAATTAATTAGAGTCATAATTATCTATGTTAGTTCGATAAGATTCTAACAGATGACGATATAAGGTAATTCGTTGACTTAAATACGTGTGTATCGGACTGATTGTGAGCCAAGGTACTATTTTATACACCTTTACTACCTGTTACCTGCCCAAATAACCACAACCCAAACTCTACAGTCGCTGGTCGTTTTTACCTGTATAGGGAACATGCATAAAAAAAACTTTCAGCTTTTATAAAATAACGAAGGTCCGTCATGGGCTCTTGCTCTAATATAGGTTAGAATAAATTATAATACATTTCATATACATATATGTATACCATTCATTAATAATAATTTTCACTATTAAAGGAAAAAAAAAGAAAAAATAATTAAAAATAGAATTATTTAAATACTATTTTGTTTATATACATATATATGTAGATTGCACGTATACTAATAAGATAATACTATACATAAGATGTAAAAGAAATAAAATATAGTCTCCGAGGTTTTTTTTCTTTTCGCAAACCAAAATTAAGGAACTTAGAAATACAGATGATATCACTTTTTTTTTTTTAATACATTGATTAGAAATGAACAAATTAGAATTTAATGAACTAAACAGAAAATATATAATATATAATATACATAATTAATATAATATACAATATACATTGTAATATATAATAATATATAATATATTATATAATATAATAATATTGGGATCTCTGGCAGGGGCGTGGGGCGTAGCAATTCGACCTATCTACTATAATTTTGAATTTAGCCAACAGATAGCGTATTCAAGTACTAGAGATCCCACGTGGCGTAACAATTTGACCTAACTATTCTAATTTTGAATTTAGCCACCAGATAGCGTATTCAAGTACTAGAGATCCCATGTGGCGTAGCAATTCGACCTATCTACTGTAATTTTGAATTTAGCCACCAGATAGCGTATTCAAGTGCTAGAGATCCCAATATTATAATATAATAATATATTATATATAATTATATAACTTTTTAGTAAGAAAAAAAAGAAGAAAAAAACATAAAAGACGATATAGTATATAATTATAAATAATTATATATTATAATGTATATATGTATATAATAATATATATGTATATAATGTGTATATTATTATATATGTATACTGTAACAAAATTGGCCTAATCTGAGTCGAGAAAAATATTATAAATAATGAAAATCATTTGATAAATCTATATCTAATTTAATATTTAATACAATATGACGAGTTTTGAGAATTAAAAAAAAAAATTAATTATTAATAATAATAATAATGATGATGATGATGATGATGATAATAAATTTTGTGCGAACAATTTTGTACATATTTTGTTAATTATATAACTTTTTAGTAAATTAAAATTAAAATTAAAATTAAAATAAAAAACAAAACAAAACGAAACAAAAAAAAAAGATGGAGAAGTATGTCATGTTTATTTTATGATTTATTTTAATTATTGTTTTTTTTTGTTTATATTATTATTATTAATTTGTTCATTGCTTTTCTTAAAAAGAAGAAAAAAAAAGAAAACACATTGCTCAATAATAATAATATTTTGGAAATAATTTTTTTTAAATAAATTTTTTAATAATATTTTTCTCGATACGTCASKWMAKKWAAWKTAARKTWAGKTTRKTTTRTTTYWTTYYTTTYTTYWTTTYWTWYWKT